TGGCGACTCAATGAACAAAATTCACACATCAGAAGCGCTTGTCGTTCGAGGTCGACATTGTTAGCCTTGAATTTCATGCCTGCGCACCGTGTTCTTACGTACACACCAGTTATATATCCCTATCTTGTTTAACTTTCCCTGTTTACACACCGCATCGCGGCGGGAGCGATGGACAAACGAACTGACGGACGGCAGTCCCTTGAAATAACAATTCGCTGCGCGTCCGCTCGCCGTGCGCGTTCCGTTTTCATCGTCGAATCTTTCACAGAGCGCGGTCTCTAGATTTACTCGCGCTAGTTTAGGTACGGCGAAGCACGATGTACACGCACTGAGAAAAATGTTAGATTAATTGGAATTCTGGTTGAAAACGGACTCGGAAATTTCCTAATTCGGACAATCGGTAAACTGATTGATATGATCATAAGATCTGTTCTTCGAAGAATTCTGAACTAACGTAATAAGTTAGAGTGAAACAAGCTATACCCGCGTCTCTCTACTTTAATTTATTGTACCGTTCAAATCTCGAGGTGAAAAAAGGACAGACCTGAATCTTTTGATTCGTACTGATTTTCAACCAGATGTCCTTTTCTCATGTCCCAAATTGCAAAAGTAATAAGTATAAAAAAGCTAACGTTATCATTCGCAAGATCACGTTTAAAATAGGTATTCTAGATGGTCAAATCTTAGAATCTTATAAATTCTGCACGAAACATGTTTGGCCACTTTAGATGGCCAACTTAGACACAAAATATCTTAAGAACAATACATTAAAAAAAAAAAACAATTTCGAATAAAAAGTTTTAAGGTTTGAAGAGGGTCATCAGATCAGCTACTTATAGATTTCGAATCCAGGATCAAATAAGAAAAAAAAAATTAACCTGGACCTAATTAAAAATAGCTCATCTCATGGCTGTTTCGCTTGAAATTACTCAGAGTCACTTCTCAACGTGCAAATAATTCCCCAACGATCTTCCAAACTTCCCGTTCGAAAGTAGAACACATCGTATAGATATTAAATAAAAAAAGTTGGCGAAGAGATCGATTTGGAGATCCGAAAGATCAAAATCCTACGCAAGCGCGGATCTAGATAGAAGATCCACGTCACATATAATTCCGTCATATATTCTACGTAAGCTCGTGCAGAAGTAAATGGCTGTTTGTAGATCTCTCGAAGTCAGCGCGCGGCGTACGTAGCCGAAAACTCGACGAGCTTCGAGTGGATTATCGGTAGAAAAGGAATTAACGAACGGGAGCAGCAAAAGAGGTACTTCCCTCGTCTAGTGCCTCTTCGTGGCTTTTAGATAAGGTCTCTCACCCCCTACGCAAAACCGGCCGTGCCACAAAGCGTACGTAAAAACTCACGCAACGAACAACGGCGAGGGGGCTGCGAGTATTACTTTCCTTCGCGGTAATGCTCCTTAAGATGAATTTACACGGTTCGCTTTAATGATGAGCCATTCTGAAAAAAGTCATCTCGTGCAAACAAAATCGTGTGTAAGAGCGCAATCTGTGTATGTCACATTTTCAGGGATTTTCGAGGATTTATTTACTCTTAATATTCACAACAATGTGATACAAGAGGCTAATAAGAGTCAAGCGACAATAAAAGAACCTCCATAATTAAGTTAACATAAGTATCTATTAAATACAAATATAAAAAAAACTACAGAAAATAAGAAACGTTCGACGCTACGAAATATAATACAATTTTATTTAATACAGATTTATTTAAAGTTTGAATAAATATTTTATTTTTAAAAAAGTGACATATAGAATATAAAATTAAAGTCCATAATTGGAGTTTTTTTTCATCGAGATATTTTTAATCTTTTTTAATTTAATAAAACTTTTAATTTGTGACAGAGTTTTTATTCAATTATAATAGAATTATTAAATCGATTTTATATGTCGTGAGATTCAATTTTATAAAAACAATTACGTCAAACTCATCGAGGATCTGCTGAAGTGTCTAAAAATTTTGCTAGACGGATTTGAAAATTTGTTCAATTATCAAAATAATTATGTAGAACACTCTTGATGATTGCAAGAATATTAAAACGTTTGGTAACATCATACTTAAAGTTTCCCTGTATAATTATTTTGATGGTCCAGCACAATTATTTTAAACCTGTATCTATCAAAATTTTTAGATACTTCAGCGAAATCGTTCTTTCCGCGCATCATCGATGACCGAAAGTGTATGCTTGTTGTTTTTATAAAGTTAGATCGAACAATATAAGTAACGCGAACAAGAAAACAAAAATTGAATAATAAAGAAAAGCAGTCGTACACCACACACGCGGGACAACCACCGGTATTCCAGCCACGCTCGAGGCGACATCCGAGAGGGGTGAAAGGAATTTTCGAGGGCGGCCGATCCCGCTAATATTCAAAGAATTAGACAGACGGTGGCGGGTCCTCGAGACGCGGTCGGCTGGACGGACCCCTTAAAGTGCTTTCGTTGCATTCTCGACACACGCAACTCCGATGTATAATGGGGGTTATATCGGCTTCGGGAACGAGGTCGGAGCGTACAACAGCCACTCGACGAGGTTACACGCGGTAACATATGCGCTCTATGGATCGGGACGATAAAAATCAGCTACTGCAAAACGATACGCAATAGTTGAGTTTACACTGTACCGATGAAGAGTCCTGACACACCTGACAAATTTGGGCTATGAAAATAACATTCAGAAGTCCAACAGTTTCTGCGAAATCATCGCGAGAGAAACCAACAGCCAATAAAATATGTACATTTAAACTTAATCTAAGAGCATAATTTTTACTGAACTTTTGAAATTCAATTTATCATCTGCGAATATAAGATTTTTTTATTTAATTAAGCTTCAGTTGAATGAAGTGTTGTAGTAACTGTGAATTATATTTCTTAATTAATTTTAAGTTGATCTAATTCGCTTGATGTTTAATTTAACGTTTATTTCCCAAATGTATGCAACACTATGTGAAAACAAGGAAATTAATAAAATAAATGGTTCAAATAATGATAACAGTCCAGTTTTGTAAGAGACGATCGATTTGAAATTGACCGAAGAATTCGCAGTTCAAAGGAAAATTTCTATATATCTCAATTGTTGATATAACAAGAGTTAGTCGATGAATTTTATTGCCTGGATTATCCAGAATAGAGAAGAAGAAAGGAAGGTAGCTTTCGAGTTTTCAGTAGGAACAGTCGCGTGCGATTAGGGTCGCTCGAGACTGCTTTTACGGCAATTGAGCTGAACGATCGTGGAAGTTGTGCAGTCGCCTGAACGGAATCGAGATCGACATCTGCTTATGACAGAAACGCGTTATAATCCGCGCTATATGCATTATGTACGGTCTATAGAGGCTTGATCGCATCCGCCTTTATCGTCCATATCTTACCAGCTGATTAAATTTTTTAACGGGTTTTGTTATACGGGTCATATGTAACATAACATCACAATAGAGATACAAGAGTTTAGTGACGTATATTTTTATATCTAAATATTCGACCAAAAACAAGTTATCATTGATTAAAATATTGAATGAGGAATTTAATAATGTTTATTTCTATGAATGTAGATTAACTTGTTTTTCATCTTTTCCTAGTTCTGAATATTTAAAAAAAAGTAAAAACTAAATTGAATCGAGTTAATCCACGCTGCTAGAAATTAGACACAAAACAGAATTTATTACTAAAAACATAGATAAATCATTGTTAGTAAGATTTATTCTTTTTTCAACATTTTCGTTTAAGAGGAATGTTAACTTTGTTACAAAAAAATTGTAAATGGTAAAATATTTGAAGGGACCTTTGTTAATTTTGGAATATTTAATGTTTCATGTATTATGTTGCGTGATAAATGTGAGACAAGAGATATACTTTTATCAGGATTTTAAATATCTAAATACCGATCACCGCTGTTTCTTCGCAAGGGACAAACAATTATAATTCCAAGGGATTGTTTTTGAGATCGGATCCTCACCTAAAATTCACACAATATAGAGTTGAGACTCTTGGTGATTCTTCCGATAAAAATAATACATAAAACTCTCGTATTATTTTCCTCCTCAACACTGAGTATCCGCATAAAGTGAACGAGGCGTTCAATTCCCCTCGAAGAAATAACATAGTTCCAAAACCGTGGATTACGGACTTAGAGCATCGGAATAGGGAATAGCTAGAGGCCGATTCAAAATGCGTCCTACAAAGGCTCGTGCCTCCGTCTCTGAAAAAATATCCAAGGGCCTACCTGGCGATAGTTCGCGAACGAGATATGTCATCCGTTTTATTTCGACATAAAGAGCGACTCAGCGCGGTCGATTTTAGGCTTTACTTCAAAGAACTGTTCATAGAATGTTCCAAACATCACGCCTGTCCTCTTCACTACAATATCTCTATATAGAAATATAGAATCGCAAATATGCTCTACATAACGAAATTCCTTGATCATTTATCATTCGTATTCCATGAATGATAATATATTACATTTTTGTCCCTAAGTAAATTTAATCTTTTTAATGAAAATTTTTAATTTTTAATGAAAATTTCAATCTGGTCACATTATATCTGCTCTGAACATGTCATTGGATGGAAAGAATAATTTTTTGTTGAAACTATACAGATCTAAGAATAATTTTTTTAGATCAAGATGGACTAAAATAATTATGTAGGAAACTCAGAAACGACGAAAAGAAATACTACAAAAAATTGTATATTTTAGCAATCAGCTTGATCGTTCTACATAATTATTTTTGATAGACTAATAAAATTATTTTCAGTTCTGTATCTGGCTAAACTTTTAGATATTTTAATAAAAGTGTTTTTTTTCTTTCCGAGTGTTGTCTAATCCTGTTGTCAAAGTTGTACAGATAATTTAAAAGAGAGCTGGAAAAGGTGCTTTTTCTTCAATGAAATTTCCATTTACATTTTATGTGTAAAAACACATAGATTATAATTAATATTACCGTATTTAATATAAAGACTTAATGTGCGTTTTATGTGTGCTTTACAGGTGAAGATATGGTTCCAAAATCATCGGTATAAATGCAAGAGGCAAGCGAAAGAAAAAGCGATGGCCGAGCAAAACGCCCAAAATCAGGTAATTACGCAAATATCGAAGTCTTGTGCAAACCGCTTCGAAAGTGAAACGTTCGTTGAATATAACATTACGAATTTCGCAAAAACGCACCATGTCGATGACTTCTATTATGTTTAAGAAATTAATAAACGCTATTTGTAATAATTGTTAAGTGATACACGCATATATTGCATAGTTTATATAATCTTTAAATCTATTTATTGTCATAAAATTATATAAATAGAATAAGAAATTGTGATTCCCTGGTCAAGAAATTTAATTGTTGAAAATTAATACGCTATGTATTGTTATAGATGATACCAAAAGTAATAAAATATATTGTGTATATAGTAAAAAGTGTTTGTGAGCTATTTTGGCTAGCCGCACCAAAATTTTCATAATCGCGACCGATGCAATCGAATATCAAACGTATTAAATTTCGTGCATTCGGCATCGAGATGCCATTGCGTCTTCGGATCGTTTCAGGAGATTTTAAAACAATGACAGTCCGCACTTGACGAAAATGTCGCGTCATGTATGTGTCGACCAATCCAAAATGAAATGGCTTTAAATGAGAAATATCGCGGAAGCCGCATAAATCCTCGCATCCGCATCATATTTCGTTTCGAGAGTACCACTCGACTGCTCGAAGCGATTTTGCATTTATTTTGTTATGTCATTTGGGATTTCCGAGGGATATCGCGCCGTGCGTCGTCGACAGAACGATAAAATTGCTCGCGTTGAGCACGTAATCACACGCCCGTCGCATTTCACATGGCTCAAAAATATAGCGCGAGATTACAGAGTCGAGTAAAATAGCGAATTTGTGCGTCCGATGAAATTCAATATTCGCTATAATCCAAGTTAAAAATACGCGGGACGTCGAGTAATATTGGCCGGGATAACTACGTCACAGTGGGGACTGGAAATAGAAGTGAAATGCATTATAATTATAATAATGTACAATATATTACTTTCACAATTCAAAAAAAGCAAGACTTTAATGAGGAACTGTTTACACACAGAATATAAACACGAAATTTTCACAGAAAGGAAGTATTTTTTACTGAAATATCTGAAAATTTAGTTAGATACAGATCTGAAAATAATTTTGTTGGACATGAAAATAATTATATATGACACTTTTAAACAAGTATTGTAAAATTTAAACATCAAATTTATTCATTAAATAAAATTTAAAATGTCGACTAATTAATTAAAACCTGAATATTTCTTGTTATCTACAAAGTTAATTTTGCAATTTACAGTTATATAGCTTGTTGTGAAAATAACCGTACAGGCGGATTAAAAAAGTCTGCTGTAATAATTTTGTTAACATTTTCGTTTGATTTGTCGAACATCGTAATTTATTTCAGTACCGTAAAATCTTTCAGATTTTAGAGTCTATCTACTGAAATAAGCAGTGCACATTTACGTATACACAAATGTATACATACGTAAAGAATACTCGGCTTATATTGCTGTATTAAAATAATCGATACTTTACCGTCGGTAGTAAATCGAGTACTTGAATACGATGAAGTGTATCGCGAGCATTTCTAATGGCAACAGACGCGATCGCCGAGATACCGTAGCTACTACTTTGAAACGTGCCGTGTCTCTCGGATCTTTTACCAGATACTCACACAACCGAATACGAATTGCTCCCTCTTCGTATCCCCCCTGTTTTTTCAAAGGATATTATTCAAAAGAGACGTCAGAACGATCATCGTGGTACACGCTTCGGATTTTTTTTGAATAAATTAGGATGTCACGTATGCGTTGTCACGAAAGCAGCGGGACCACGTTAACGCGACGGATTGCTCGATTCTCCGTCAGCCATGCGACGGTAAATACGATTGCGCGATTCATATTATCAACTTTGCCACAAAACTGGAAATCAAAGAAATCAGGGAAATTAAAAACGAAAGAAAAGAAGTCAAATTCAGACTTTTATATCCGTACTTTTTTGTCTTAAAATGTAGAAAACATAAAGATTCTACCGCGATTTAAATCTTGTTGGAGTGTTTACTTTGTATAAATATAAATAGATCATTCGAGCGATCGAACATTGATTTATCGCATAAAAAAATTAAGTACAAAAGTATATTTGTCACAACTGCAAGATGAAATGACGTCGAAAATGTCGAAGTAAAAGGTTGCAATACGATCTTTGCACGAGGAACTAATAATATTAGGTCTGTTTTTGTGGCTGAACTAGTGTACATTGTTGGAACTTAAAGTGAGACAGGCATACATTTGATACTTGTTGAAAGCGAGAAAGGGAGTTCTAGTGCAGAAACAGAAAACAGACCAATTGATTATCAGGAAAATTTAAGTTGCAAATAGTGATTCGCCAGAAGAATGAAGAAAGATATAGTTAAATTGGCGTAAGAGAATTACACCGAAAGAACGATTTTGTTGAAGTATTTGAAGTATTTAACTAGATACAGATCTGAAGATAATTTTGTTGGACCAACAAAAGAATTATATAGAAAACTCAAACATGATAAGAGCAATGCTGCCAAAGTTTTGATATTTCATATAGGGTTTTATAATCGGCCCAGAATGCCGGACCATCACAATTGTCACAATTCAGATTCTGATGTAACACCAGCAAACTACTGGCCCAAAGTACTGGACAACTTGTTTGACAAGTTTGACACTGGATAAGTACACTGACTAACAGTAAGTACTGGATGACAACTTGAGACCAGTACTGACAAACGATACTGGTCGAGTTATTTTAATCATGTGTGATGGTCCGATGTTTGTAATAAGACAAGGTGAAACGTAGCGCATAATGACGATAGCATACTGGAAACAACCACAACAACGAATTTGGATCCAGATTTACTCTTGTGCATCCGCAGGAACATTTCATCTTGCATTTTTATACCATGGCCCAGTATTGGCTAACAGAACTTTGACATCATTCGACAGCCAGTTATTTGCCATTGGCGGTGCAGTATTGATTGACAGAATCTTGACCGTCAGGTGACAGTCGTAGTGTTGACTAAGCTTTGGTTTCGTTACAACTATACTAACGACCTTATATAGGATTCTAACGACCCAGTTTGAGCATCCTATATAACTATTTTGATAGTTCACTGAGATTATTTTCAAATCTGTGTCTATATACAGCTAAATTTCTCGATGCTTCAGCGAAACTGAAGTTCTTTTCTTATAAGCACAAGGTGTCGCGTGTGCCCTTCACATGGCCAAAGTGAAACTCGTCACTTCGTTATCGCTTTAGGCAAATGATATTTTCCGCGAAATATGCGGAAAGTGTCACATGGATGCAGCGCGACGACATAAGCGGATTTACGTAGCACACTTTTAAACGTCGAGGGACAACGCGCGTATAACATCGCTCATTGAAATTCGATGAAAAAATACGCATGTTTACGCGAGGACGGAGCATACTTTTAAATGATACGTGCAATGTTTTCCACCTCGCGGTATTAGCATGTCCGATGAGCTTTGCGCGTTTATCGATTATTCAGAAATGTGCCTCCGGAAAAAAGGAATTTCGCTGCCGCGGAGAAACCGCCGTCACTGTACACACGTTGTAAATGTGACAAAATTTCACCGATCGTTCGATATCGCAGTCAAACCACTTTACTAGTGAGACAGCAAAAAATTCGACAGATTTATTCATAGAAAAAGAAACGATCTACATGGAAAGAGAACGATATTGTTGAAATAGTAAAAAGTTTAGTTAGATATACAAATTTGAAAGTGATTTTGTTACTTGTATTTATAAAGATTTATTTAGATTATAAAAATAATTTTCATTAGAAGAGCGTGAAGATGTATGAAAGTTTTATGTTATACATTAATTAGAATGGCCTAATTTCTATTGTATATTAAAATTTACGTATCGATAATCATATTATGTCACTCAGTATTGATAGCATTCTGGAGTTAAAGAAAACTTGATTTGCTAAAGCACACAATCCTTAACAATAATACAGTACGGAGCGTGTTTCTCTTTTGCCTTGCGTTAAGAATTCTTGACATCGAGATAAAAGTGTACTAAAGTGTCTCTCTTTTAAATCCGATTTAAATGTAATTCGAATTCGGTGCCCACCGCGAAAAATCGATGGCAATCGTGTACAGGCCATCGAAATCGGAGCTTGTCCTGATCCTATGGCGACACAATGGACTCAACGTTGCGTCGCGTTTGCCTCGTAAACAGCCGTGTAACATTAATGGCGTTGAAAGTTATCTGATGTGCCGATCTGCGAGGGCAAGCGATTCTTCCGCCCGGCAGCCGCGCCATCAGCCGCCCTATAATTTACTCGTTAGTTCGTCGTGCTTCCGTGGACATGTTTTCATTACCTTCTCTCTTCTTCCCGACGCGATCTTCCACCCGTGTTGTTACCGTCAATAACACGATTGGCTATTTTATTTCGTTGTTATACCATTACTTTGAAAGAAGACCGATCGATCGCAGCTTGGGAACTACTAAGGTAAACGTATCAGTTAGTGGACATGAACCGATTGTTGGACAAAGTCATAAAACATGTCAAATGCAAAGTTTTTAATGGTATGCGTGATTCTAAATTAATTCGTTATATTAAACTTTTTATAAACAAATTTATTTAGAGTCGTACATTTCATTGAAAGATTAATATTGAAAATTTTGTACCACTTTATCCAACGAATTAGGTCATGTCCACTAATTGTCCACTAATTGATACATTTATCTTACTTTGTTCTGATAAGAAATATTTAATTGCGCGAGTAGTCCACAATCTTTATATCTTTTCTCATTTACAATATCATTCTAATTATTTTTTTTTACATAGAAATATAAGTGTTTACAAAGAAAGAATGATTTTGTTGAAATATTTAAAAATTTAGCTAGAGATCTAAAATAATTTGGTTGGCATCAAAATAATTACGTATAGGAAATTCAATCGTAATATTGCAAAAAAAATTTTATATTGCAGTGACTAGCTTGAGCATCCTACATTATTATTTTGATAGTTCAAAATTATTTTCAAACTGTAACT